CCTTTAAGTCTTCCTACCAATATGACCGAGTTGCGAAGACAAGGTCAAACCACTTCTATGCAACGAAATGAGACTGCGACCACACAAAAGGCCACATTATCTTGGTCTTTATACCTTACTATTATATCAGAATGTGCAGATGTATTCAGAAATAATTGACTAACCAGAGGCGTTCCTTTTTTCAAGCCTTCATGCCATTATATTATTAATTTGTTCTGGGAAACTTTGGTTTACCTGATCTCATTGTCAGAATTATCCTAAGTGTCCGTGCTGTAACTTCATGCAATATCAGAGAAGATGTAAACCTGCCAAAACTTTTGCTCAATACCGGAATCCTTAGGACCCGCGTCTTATCTTCATCCCTTTCCATTTGCTGCATGACATTCCTATAACCTTTGTATAATTTAAGGGTATTCACACATGTGATAGCAATCTATTCTACTGTCACTCGCTGAAGCTGCTCAATTGATAAGTTGGTATTTTACTGGTAATATTCTTTTTCTTAGGTAAGGCTTTTATGCACTGCCTTTATTACTCAAAATATTTGATCTCTGACACACAAACGTAGACATTGAAGATATAGAGGTTCAATTTTCCTGATCGGGGTACGGGAGACTCCCTCCGAAATATTTTTTGGATGGGATAATTCGAATCCGTCACAAATCATATCCAATTACTGCTCAAAGAACGTTTTGCTAGTTGGTTTGTCTTCGCCAGCTAATTGGATTATAATGGGACTCGAAACATCGTAATGAGCCTTGTGAGATTGTCACACATCGACTTAACTCAAAGCAGACTCGGAGGAGTAAGCATAAATCTGTCACTGTTGTAAACTTTCATAATTAATCCTGCACACTAGCTTGACGCTTTGAACTGCTGTCTTAATGAGTGTTGTAAATAAAGTTAAACACAACATGCTTTATTTACACTCCCTACATCATATTACCTCCTATTTTTGCTATTGATGATTTTACCAATCTAATTGTAGCCGCCTCTGCCCATATATTATAGGTAGTTCAGAGGTTAACTGATTCAACAAGCTTCATATTCAAAATTTGATCTAAATCTTCTTTTAATTTGATTACTTTCTTTTAGTTGTGCTGTTACTCCCGACTCCGACGATTCGATTGACTCTGTGGTTTGTCATCCTGCCAATTTGGCTGCTTCCATACAGCATGATGAACACGAAAAGCACATTATTGCATACCCCAGTGAGTCTGCTACCTCCGGAGTCTCGGCAGTCCCAACAGAAGCATCGACCTTCATAGGAAGCGGAGAACCCTCCTGGCTAGAAGCGGCCAGAGGCCAAAGTGAACTGTCAATGGCGATGACAATGGCGGAAGCTATTGAGGATGAGCACGAACATGGCTGGGAAAGGAAAGAGATGCTGACTGATTTGGCCAACCATGAAACGAGAGGTTCTTTTGGTGAGTTTATTACGTCTTCGACATCCTCCAATATCGATGGGGCAGTGGTAGAAGCTGATTTTAAGGAAAGGCAGTATCCTGAGACCGACCAGGTCTCTGGTAGATGTCCAGATTATAGCAGTGAAGAAGCACACTTTTTACAGCAATCCGACGGCGAGGCCAATCAACCATTGAAATTAGAAACAGATTCGCCGCATATGAGCTTCAAATTGCCGTTGGCTGAGGAAGCTCAGTTCCGTTCAGCGGGAAATGATCTTGACGAACTTGACTCTCATTTGACTCCACCAGATAGCACCACACTAGGTTACGACGAATCAAACCTTCCAGAAGCTAAGCTTGAATCCAGCATCCCCGATGAAAGTACTTACTTTCCTAATAGTCTTGGAGTGAGTACCGCCATTGAAGCTCACGCAGAATCAGGGACACAACCTTTGGAGGCCGAAATGAGGGCAACAGAAGGTGGCGAGTTGGAGGAGATTCGTGTCGCAGAATGCAATCAGATGATGCCTGAAGCTATCTGTGATGAGGCAAAACTGGATACAAATTATCCTGCTGGTTTGGATTTAGTGGGATACAGGGAAGAACAACCTGTGATCATGCGGACCGAGGATCCTACTGCGCTCGGATTAGTCGGAAGTGTGCTTGATGATACAACCACTGATTCTGGTTCTGTTAAATCAACATCCTGGCAACAAGAAAATCAAATTACACCACCCTTCTCCCATTTACACTATGATCTACCGGAGACAGAAGTGGTTTCTAGTTTATCGGTTGACCAGGCCGACTTACTCTATGATGAGAATCAGAAAGCGGGTGATAATCCCTTGGTCAATGAGCCTGAGTATTGGAAGCCTGCAGATGCGATGGGCTATGCAAGTCAGAAAGCCTCTCTTATAGGTTTTCCTGAGTCTGACTACTGTCAACAGGTCGTGAGTCGACCGGCAGACTCTGACTCTTTTCACCACACCAAGGCTGGAATAGATGAAGCTTCCTTGGCTGGCGAGCCTCGTCGATGTGATACACTTCTGGATTCCAGTGTGGGAGCATGCGAGCTTGAAGAGGATGACCGATCCGTTGAAGAAGCCTTAACTTGTATAGCCGACAGCTCTTCACCCAGTCTAGGTCACTTTGATGCTGATGTTGCTTGTACCGAGCAGGAGCATGACTACTGTCCTATACAAAATTCCCAGCACTACCATTCTCATGAAGAGAGGGGTGATACGGTAGAGCTTATTGCTTGTGGAGAAATAAGGCATCAGTTCGAAGCTGACTTGGATCAAGAGAATGAATATTCTGCCTCTGCTGGGCTGTCGACTTGTGGTCATCTTTCCAACCCCAGAGGGGATGTAGAGGTTTGTGATGAAAATGATGTGACCACTGACTACACTCTAAATGCTGGGCACGATGCAGAGTTTTCAGGAAACTTAGTGGCCTCTACTGACCAACTGCTTGACCAACCACATGACTTGAAAGAATTGCATGATAATAACACTTTGGCTTGCAGAACAAGTGGATACAACAATTTCAAACATGAGGATTCGAATCCAATAGAACCAAATGATGAGGAAGAAGAACAGCCTCTAGCAAGTATTGTTGTTGCTGATTTTCCAAAATATACTACACCAGTGACGTCAGAAGGTTCAGATTTCCTCAGCTCAATCCCAACAGAATCGGGCAAAAGTCCTGTTCATACGCTAGAATCAGAGTGCGTTGGGCCACCGAGGAGTGATTCGCCTGTTAATTTGTGCTTAGTAGGCGATTCGGAGAGCGATGTAATTCTACAGCCTACGAAAAATCACAATGATATGGGCAATATCGATACCATTCATGACGTCACAGATTGGCCTGTTGGACTGAAGCCGGCTCCTAATGGGGTGCATACCAATGGTACCCATGAAATGTCTCACGAATATTTCGGGTACGAAAATGATACTTCAAATTCGTCTGTAGTGTCTCAGAACGACTTAGAAGAAGATGCATCGGCTGGCCATAAATCGGAATGGCTCAATAATCAAGGCTGCCATCCTGTAACCATAGTTCACCCTCCAATTACTTTCAGCCATTTCAAGCCAAATGTTTCTCTATATACTCCTCCAGCTATAGAAGGTTTGCATGACTCTTCAAGTGCTCCTCCTCATTCTGACCTGCAGCGGTGTCATCAAACAACTCTTGATGGGGTTTACCATCAGTACCTGTCTAACGCTTCTACGGGACCCACTAATTATGTTGCCCAGAGTGGTGTTGACGGACTCGCGGAATGCTCAAGTGACGTAGACGAGGTTAGTTGTGATCAGCAGAATTCATTGGTGAGACGAGTTGAGGAGACTGACTGTCTGGAAGCCGAGGATACTCAAATGCATCGAATGTTGGACAAATACTTCCCTGAGGTCACTGAGCAAAACGGAGACTCGAGGCAGCGGTTTGTAGATATTGAATTTACAGGCACCAAGGAAGGTCAGACTGATGAGCCTCAAGTCGAGACGGATTTGAGTACTGAGTCATCAGCATACGTGGCTACAAGGACTTCTAATGGTGTTTGTCATTCAGACGGAATAGACAGAATAGACAAAGACAGCTTGTCAGGTGAGTTAGCTTCTTCAATTTTTTTTTATTTCCTCCGGGTAAAAGACGGCAAGCTAATTTACCAAAGGACAAGTAGTTTTCAAAAGTTATTATAAGTAGCAAAATCTAGTCTTGATGTTGATTGCATGATGTTGGTGTGTATTACCTCCAAATTTATTGTATCATGGAGAGAGAAAGCTAATTAATTAATTAATTTGTAGCTATTAATAAAATAAATTTTGCTCCATTAACTATATTTCGTTTAGGATGATGTAGGACTGGTAGTTGAATTTTCCCTCAATGATATGATTTAGTCTCATGTTTTCATTGAATTTCGCTCAGCCTTGCTTCCCAGTGGGACTCGAAATCAGATAATCGTCGACAATCCCAACCTAGAAAGGACTAGGCTTCCTTAAAATTATCTTTTGCCCTGTTACCCAAGGACGTTTGTGTCAGTGTGGAATAATGGTTAACTTGTCGAGGCTACGCTGCTCTACGCAGGTGCGAGTAACGATGGGGATGCTGATGAGACCAAAGGGAGGTCAAATTTGCCGTATATCCCTGCCTAAAGGATACTACTTCTTGGGGAGGAAGGCTATTTGAATCTTTATAGGAAATTATGGCTTAGTAATATGATTGTGGGAAAATAAAACTACTAATCCATCAGCATTCTTAACGAAATAGGGTGAATGCAAATTTTATATCAGATCTATTGGTAGTCTCGAAAACCTACTTATAAACTGTAAATAATAATAGCATCATTTTTAGAATCAAATCGCTTGATTACATCTTTGGTCTCTTTTTATCCAACGTTTCAGATTTGGTTTGTTTCTTTTGCCAGACAAGACTCAACTTTCGTTTCTATGTCAGCTTCACCAATATTGATGGGCCCCGCTTTTTGTGTACTGAAACTACTTCTTCTATGTTTGACTTCTAAAAAAATCACACTATCTATTTACCTTTGCTGTCTAAATCTTTTATGTAGCCTACTTGCGGTATATAATTTTACTGTTAAATTGCTACGACATAGTCCACATTTGACCAACAAATATCAAAGTCGCCTAAAGCGATTAAAATCCTGGTAGTTAAGTTTTCAAATGGTAATAGAAGATATGAAGACCATGATGTTGTGGCTTTTTGTGCGGTCGCAGTCTGCTTTCATTGTATAGAAATTGTTTGACCTTGTTTTCACAACTTAGACATATTGGTAGAAAGACGCAATAGTCCCGAATCCATTGTATTTATGATAATTTCCAAAGTCGAACTGTGGACATGGTACGTTTCGCCGACATCATAGTCGGCATCGTAAGTGAGTCTTGCCATTCTTAGCACAACACTGCAACTCGTCAATGAGGCAAGTGAAGCCGATCCATTCACCAAATGTGTGCTAAACAGTTGTGGTATCTCTCCTGTCCTGGGCTATTCACCTTTCCTATATCCTCGTATCACGCCTTCACTAACACAATTCTTTCCCTTGCTTATTTAAATGTAGTGTGATGTGCCCTTTGGAGCGGCTTTCACGAGAACCCTCCACACTTCAGGCTGGCGCTCTCGCCCCATTTACCCTTGTGCTGGGAATGTTGATCAGAGTCTGCCATATTGTTACACAGTCCTTCTTCCCTGGGTCTTATCAGAGTTTCCCTCTTGCCCCCAACCAACAAACGTTTTGGTTTAACATTGAACCTAATAAAAGCGAGCAGTATCACGACATTTGTGGGTTGGCACACAAGAGACTAGGGCATAGCAAGTCAGAATTTTTTTATTACGGTTATAAACAGGATGGATGCGGCTTAGGCTGGAGCTAGTTGGCTGACAGTAGGCGGTTTTACCATAGACGTGGTCCATGTGGCAAGATCTTGACCATGAGACTTACTCAGAGGCTTTAGCCTCGATTTAGTCACTCAGACGCAGGGGAGTGGTGATACCGCCTCGAGTAGCGCAGTGGGGTGGCAGGGGTCGAGTGAAATACTTTAATCAGGGGGATTGCAGACGAATCCTACGGGACTCTGATAAGACCTAGGGGAGAAGTACTGTGTAACAATATGGCAGACTCTGATCACCGTTGCCAACAGAAGGGTCGAGGGGGGCGAGAGCGCCAGCCTGGAGCAATGAAAACAAAGTGTGATAGTGAACGCGTGATACGAGGCTACAGGATAGGTGACTATATCAGGACAGAAGGAGGATACAACAACTGTTTAGACACATTTGTCTCTTTGACGAGTTGTAATGTTGTGCTAAGAATGACAAGACTCACTGACGATGCCGGCGAAACGTCTGGGAATGTACCAAGTCCACGGTTCGACTTTGGAAATTAACATACATCCAATGGATTTCTCTAACTCTTCCTACTGATATGACCAAGTTGTGAAAACAAGGTCAAACAACTTCTAATCAACTAGTAAGCCTCACGATGACATCGAATTTCTCTTATTATTGCCTCTCCAAAGGCTGTCCAATTTAAGATGGACTGCAGTTTTGACCTGACCTGGCTCTGCAACGAGATTCTATTCTGGGTCGGAAGTATCGTTGTGAAGTTATTAATCAACTAAACAGCCACTTTGTCCAGTCAGTCACAATACTGATGTGGCATTCAAGGCAAACTAGACTTCACCTACTCCACATTTTATAATAGGATTGCCAGTTAAGCACACATCTGCTTGCCATTACAATCGACACTATTACTTATTTTAGGTTTAAGTAGTTTTTAAGAATATTATTAATTCTTGAAGAACTTAGCCTAGATCGCTTAAGATTATTTACGGATCGATAGTCTAGCTTTCTGCTAGTATCGTAAACTACTTGCATTGCTATTTCATTGAACGATTTTGAAGCACCCAATATTACTTCAAGGTATAGCTTAGTTTTTTCAGCTAAGTTTGGTGTCGAAATATAGTTCGATATATACCATAAGTATTTTTAATACAGATTTGTCTTGTGGAAACACTTTACTTTCTCGATTTAAATGACCTACCAATCTGACGCCGATAAAGAGATTATGACCTTATAGCTTTAAAAGGTCTCTTTAAATTTATATCTTAAATGCTGATGCATCTGTAATAGAAGCGTGTATCCACTCCTGATTCTCTATTACTGAGTCACTAAACGTGATTCATCTATTGTGTATAAAGCTTCCTATTAGCATCGTCCAAGTATCAGGCTTTATCTACCTCGTTTTTATGTCCTCAATAAAGATATGATTTTAAAGATAACTCATTTGGCTTGTTCAGATCCGCAACTGTCCCTGTGATATTTGATTTGTGATTTCGGCAACTTAGGAAGGGAATCCTGCAATAATTTCTTCATTTTCTAAACCGCTCGGACGAAACGATAAAGTTCACAATAGAATTCTGGAAGAAAGTAGAGTTTGATTTTTTTCTGGAACTTTAATGGAAAGGCGTTTTGTTGAGGGCTTCAACTCCAACTTTGTTTACTAGTTAGGAGTTGGATTGATTCAATTCCTGATTATGAGACCAACCTAGATTAGGTTGGGTATATAAGGATTGGAAGTGAGTGATACAGTTCGTGATCGATAATAACTGTCAAGAAGACCTC